ACTACTACTACTACTACTACTATTACTACTACTACTACTACTATCATTACTACTACTACTACTACTACTACTACTACTACCACTACTACTACTACTACTACTACTACTCCTACTACTACTACTACTAACTACTACTACTACTACTATTACTACTACTACTACTACTACTACTACTACTACTACCACTACAACTACTGCTGCTTCTTCTGCTACTGCCGCTACTACTACTACTACTACTACTACTACTACTAGTACTACTGTACTACTACCGCTGCTTCTTTCGGCACCCTTACCAATCACATCGTTGTAGCCGTAGCACAGACAGACCTGCCACACATGATAAGCAGTGCTCGGAATGCGAATGATTGGCTAAATGTTGTGGGTGCCTTGCTAATTCCGTCTCCTCAAGGTCGGCAAGTGCTGCCCGAGCCGCCTACATCTCTGCCCGGCAAGCTAAACGAGGTTGGACATCAGCTTGGTTCAACACTCATTTGGACCAAGACCCGAACCCAAGTCTCAAGGTGTTGTGAGGCTTCAAGGTTGCATGTCGGTTATCGCAGAACCTCTTGGCAAAGGCTGACAAGGGGTCGGTTCACTGCCCTTATACGGCAAATGCTATCTTGTGCGATGACCGACACTGACTACAGCCGGGTGGCCCTCGCAAATGGATTTCGGCATTGAGGCCACAGGCTTGACCATTGCAGAGTTGGTTGAGCCCGAAACGGCATATTTTCAAACGTGAGAATGAGGGCAATGCCCCTGTAGGATTTGCAGCAGGGCAAAACTTCATTCTGAATTCTGGAACGCTTGGCAGATATTCGAGCTGAAGACTGACATTCCGATTTTTGTTCTTCGTGAGGGAGAGTAGAACAGTTAAACGAAAATCGCGATCCTCGGGTGTCTGTCGAGTTTAAGCCTGAGCCAAGCTTGCTTTGTTCAACGAGTTGTTGTCGCTGAATAGTGAATACGAGGTTCCAAACATACCTACACATATCCCTTGTGTTAAGTGTCGCTGTACTGAGCATCTAATTGACACTATCTCGAGCTGCACTGGCAAGTGGGGAAGTGTGCATGAGCAGATCTCGCATGTAAACCCTGAAAGTGGATTTCCTTTTTTAAGGCGGCTGCCTCTGACAGAGAGCTTCTCATCGACTCCTGGTCTTGGGAAGCGCGGGATCAGATGATCAAATTGCCCAAATACTTCTCCGCACAGACCGGGACACGATCTATTTTGCTTGCCCGGCGTGGGTGGCAGGAAGCATGTTAAAATGAACGGCTGCAGAAGTTCCTCCGCTTGCAGGCTGATGAAGAGGATCAAGACTCAGACGAGCATGTGCCACCAAGAAGAGATGCTTGATCCAACTAAAGCACCTAGCAGACCAGGGATTTGCAAATCAGGAGTTCAGGATCGATTGTGAAAGAATGGGACCTTGTGGAGTGTTGATTATGGGTGTGTGAGGTTTTCGCGAACAGGGAGCCCCGGGATAAGGCTCGCGCACCGCAAAACGGAATTTGTGTTTGTTGTTGCCTGTTGGCAGTTTCGATGTGAATTGCAAAGGGGTCTAGTCAGGAGTAGCGTCCACTGTTTTGTGTTGCTAACCTTTGGTCGAATCTCAATTGCTTCATTCAAGCTAGCTTCTGATTCCTTGATCTCGCGAGCCCTGGAGCCGCACAGGTCCTCCGCCCTAAACCTTAAACCGCCACGGCAGTGTCCAACAGCGAGCACGGCAACGCATGAATTGAACTTTGTGCCGCGTAAGAGCTGACAGGAGCATTTGCTGAGAAAGTCTAAGCCCGTCAGTCAACCTTGAGCAATCCTACAAGATCCCATCTCGCGGTGATTCCTGCTGAAGGATGGCACCGGCACAACAAGTGCAAGATTGGGCTTAAATTTGCCCACGAGCCCATCCATGCATCAGCTTAGCAAGCAGTGGCTTGCTTCATGTTGGAAGGGTCCTTTCCTATAGTCTCTGCTCGAAGGACCTCCAGCAAGACAAAGCTTAATTGCTTAAGCCAAATTTGAAGCCTTCATAGACACTTGCTACCACTAGGGGCTTAGAGTAGCGGTGCTGTGTGGTGCCTAGGCCTCGGAGTTGCAAAGATTTGAAGATCCTCTGTGCCCTCGCGCGGCTGCAGGTCCCATACCCACATCCTCGATAACTTCATCTTGGAGCTGGGCGCAAAGCCAGAGTCATTGGACGACATCGGCTGCAGGATCGCCTCCGCCTTTCCCAGGTCGCTGTACTTTGCGATGATCTTGCTGCCGTGCCTGGCCCATGTCGGAACTGATTTTGCAGTTTCGCACTTCTCGCCGGGTGTGGTCACCGTCCATGAAAGAACCATCGGCTACAGCTTTTTCGTGGGAGCCGTTGTCGTTCATTGCTGTGGCGCCACCTTGGGAATGCACTTGCTGAGAACCTTGGCTTAAACTTGCAGGATCTTGAAGACTCAGGAGAATTTTAAACAAACGGCCCCTATACCTTGCACCCGTCTCAGTGACCCTTGGCACCGTAGTGCCATTGCCACATCCACCATTCACACCACCCACTATACTCACTGCCATTCAAGACCTTTACTTGCCATCACAGCCGCCATCGCTGGATTCTGCAGTGTGGCCGTCCCTGCCATCATCAGACTCCTCATCAGTCCCATAAGCCTTGTGAGTGATGTCTTGCTGTTGTGCCGCCACCGCCGGCGTCGCCATCATCATCGTCATTCTCATCACCACGATTAGAACCACCACCAGCCCCATGCTCATCATGATTGTCACTACTACCAACACCACCATCACCAGGCGACAACAGTGGCATCTGCGTCATTGTTATTCCACTGTCATTGCCACTTTATATTGCTTAACGGTTGTTATTGTCATTGTACATATATGTATGTACATAATATATATATATATCTATATATATATATATATATATATCTACACATATACATACGTGTGTATTATGTGTACCGCTGCAAATGCTGCGAATACTGCTACACAGCTTTCGGTGAGTAGCAGCATTGCAAAAAGCTAAACAGGAACAGCCCTGCGCTCGGGGGAGCTGAACATGGCGATCGAGAAGTTGCACGGGCAACTCACCTCGCATCCTACGATAGATCCTCACACAGACGAGAGTTTGGCTCAGACCGCATGACACACGGTTTGTGTTATCCTTTGTTTCTTCTCCACTCTTTCACCCCTCCCTCTTTACGGTTACGGAATCCTGTAGTTCTGAAACGCGACACAGCGGCCACCAAGGTTTATCCAAAACACTGAAGAGCCGCTGAGCGAGTCTATTGCAGGTCCAAGGTTGAGAGGGGGCTTCAGGAAACAGTGGGTTACTGTTACTGGTTTTGGGTCTAGGGCCGAAAATGGGGCTTGGCTTGAAGGTGCGATGCAACGCTCCCGGTTGGCTCCTTCATGTCTTCGGCTTAAAGTTGTTATCCAGACCTCGCGAAGCAAACTTCGGGGGGTAGCACGAGTGATCCCACCCTCAGTAGCATTGCGGTCGTGATATGTAATCATGCAGGTTTCAGCATGCACCAGTATTGCTATCTTTCCTGGCGTATGTTTGAATGATATTCAACTTCTTTGCATAAGACTTCTCCTCCTTTGAGAGTATCATCGGTGAGGGCTCATGGAACAACTCCGACAAAACCGAAGCCTACCAACCGGCAAGGCTTCTGCGCTAAACACCGAACATTCAACAAGTTGGGATCGGCGAACAGAAGGAGTGTGATGAAGAGACCGAAGCGACACTCTCCTGAATCATAGCCATCGCCATCGCTGCCCCGGCCTCCCAGGATTCCCAAGATAGCTCGACTCAAATCCAGACTATTACTAAACTGGGAACTCCTCGACAAAGGTGGTCGGAGGTCTCTCGCCGACTGTGTCGACAGCATTTGCTTGGCTGGCTGATTTCTGCGACACGCAAGCAGAACAGTCTCTAAAACCCTTCTCTCGGAAGTTATGGCAGGGCCGGCAGGGCTTAGAGTTCAGTCAGAAACATCTTCAGGTGGGCCTTTCTTCTCCTGCTTATGTTGGTAGCATGGTGCAGAAAGTACCCCTCCAAGCGGCTCAAATTTATGCCGCCGAGTAAGTATATTTTTGTTTGAAGCCGGGGGTTATTGCACTGTTGCCGATTGTTGTTAACCAAGGGTCCACACTAGCACAAACCGCTCAACAGACTACACCGTGTCGTGAGAGTCTGCGACATCCTGAAGCCCAAGCCTGAATCCTTCGCTCTCCACTCGGACTTGAATTTGGTTCACGGTCGGTTCTTGTCTATGAGCTGTACTCGTAGGAATCTGAATATTTCTAGCCCTGCAGATCATGAATGCTTGCAAACCACAAAGAACAGTGTGGACTTTCGGGCGCATGAAGTCCGGCCAGGACTTTTCGAGCTGTCAGCCGTATCTTCGCCTCGAAAGAAGACGCTAAACTCCATCAGGCATCAAGCGCGCAACAGATCGCCGAATTTGGCTCTGCTTGCTGGTTGTCCAAACCGGTTTAAGCAGGCACAGGGTGTGAACAAAATGATGATCATGAACCGTATCATCAAGGACGCTAATTATCAGCCTGCATGGTATCATTGCCATTCGTACTATACCTTCACGACGAGCGCTACCATCCCATGCTGAGGTCATTTCTTTCGTCGCAACATTGGAGGAGTGGAAGCTCAGTGCTTCGGCTTCTTCGGAGAGCCCCACAGCCCTTTTCTAATGCATGTCGAAAGCCCCTAGATTGACTGTTATGTTTTCGGGTGTTAGGGGGCTTCAGGGCTGGGGCGTGTTGACAGCTTAGAGCTCATGAGATTTAGAGCTTGAGGTTAGTTCAGCATCTTTGTCCGGATTCTAGGTGTCGTGTAGTGCTGACTGAAGATGCAATTCGACCTGACGCGGACGGCGCATGGCTAGCTGGTAAAACTGCAATATTCACTTGTCGAGAGCAGTTGAAAGTGTCTGGCTAAGCTTCACCATAGGAGTGCACTCCTCAACCTGAGACCCTGAACAGATATTGAGATGCAGACTCCTGTGCTCAGAACCTAGTGCTGGGCTCGGGTCTTCCAGTTAACGGAAAGCTTCAGTTCACGGTGTAGCCCTAGGGGTGAGCATCCTGTGTCTGGGGGATAAACAAGAGCAGACCTCTTCGGCGTTTAGGCCCGAAGCCGGTGGCCGCCTTCCGTATTGAGTTGACCGATTGACACCTGCACCCTTAAACCCCTTAAAGTCTTTTGTTGCATTTCCCTAAATACCGTGGCCATAGAGCAGGTTTCGGGAATTTGAGGCATTCCGGTGGCATGTTCTTGCGTTTGTTTGACTGTCCATGTCTCGGGGTATGTTTCCTCAGTGTCGGGACAGCTAGAGAACCGCATAGGGAAGTCAAAAGAATCGCTGCTAGTGACTAGTGCGGGATCCCAGTGGACCGAGGAAGCGGTGTTATCCAGCCGCCGCCAATCTCCGAAATTTCCGCCGCATTCCGGCTGCTTGGGCAGCTGATCTTCACCATGAGTTTTATCCTGGCGTCTGCCGTGATCTTTCTTGCTGCTTGGCACGGGAGTTTGGGCCCTGCACCTCGACCTGCACCTCGAGCCCTAGACGCCGGAGATTAGTGGCGGCCGTCAGTTGCACGCATTGACTCGAAGATCCATCAACAATGAATTAGACCGGGTTCAGACGAAGTAGGGCTGTTCAGGTAAACCCATGCTTAATGAAACAGATAATTAAATGCCATACTTGACACATCCCTTCCTTCACAAGGCCTATGACTTTTGCAGGGATCCTAGTGTCAAATCGATTTCCCGGGGGTTGCCTGGCCCACAGCCCGGGGCTGTTGGCTTGAAGTTTAGGGCCTTTATGGTTTGGGTTAAGGGTTGAGGAGGTTTGGGGGTATTCTTCCGGATGCTTCAGTTCCAAGAGCGCCGATGTTGATGCAGGGTACTCGCTGGACCCATCCTTCTAGTATCTGTGTGGGCTTCGATAATCATATACCATCTTGCCGTAAACCTAGAAGTCCTAGACCCTAACGATGGGTCGTTAAACCCTATAATGGTGCAGGGTGCTCCTTGGGGGCTGGGCAGGCAGACAGGCAACTAGGCTAGCCAAGGCTGACCACTGGAGGCATATGTTGTAGGGTGAGGGTTTCCACAAACCCTGAACCCTTCAATCCTGAAGCCCGAATAAAATGGCAAAGGCTGCAAACCCAGAGAATGAAATCTTTTCAAAGTACTAGACAATCTGAAGCCCGACTAAAATGGCAAAGGCTGCAAACCCAGAGAATGAAATCTTTTCAAAGTACTAGACAATCACCACCTCCCTGCTTTCAGGTTGCCTATGTGCATGCCCATGCCCTGCACGGAATGGACCTTAGCCGCGCCGCTGAAGGTTTAGGATAGTCAGATCTCACGGCAGAAAATCGATGTTTCAGCGGTTCTGGCCGATGGCTCAATGAACTCTATCCTGCAAGAGATCGGCATCAGCAGCATAGGAATCGTTTGGCTGGTCTTTCGTCAATGGGCCCACAGCATAAGCCCTGGGATGGGAGTTGTCTTGCCGATGGCCCGAAGAAGCCACCCCGGAACAACAATTCCCTGAGCTCTCAGCAGGCCTGGCAGCGCACAAGCCCAAATCACCGAGACGCCCAAAGAAATTACCACCTACATATTGATCTCCCTCTGCTTGTCCAAAGAAAACTTGAAAGCCCTGGAGCCTAAAACCTCCCAGGCCTCGACTGTTGGTGCTACGAAATCTTGCACAACCGAAATTTCCACTGCGGAGTGCCTGGCCTGTTGATAATCGCAAATCTTCAAACATAGGGCTTCAATAGTTTCGTTGATGCTCCAGGGTTTGTGTAGACTCCAGCAGCGGCCGACAGGAATTACTTGGCGGTCGGAAGAGGCTTTGAGGGCTTGTGACTGTTTGGAGATTGTTCGAATCAGGGCTGCTGGCGTTCGTTTGTGAGCCCTTAAGCAGCCACTCAAGCCTGTAGTAGAATCCAGAAACTTGGAACATCAACCAAACCCCAACGTGCCAAGACCTTTCGCACTTGGGCGCAAGAGCAGAACTCTTGTCTATCTTCCACTCTCATGACCCCTAACGGAAGAGGTTATCAAGCCTGCAAAATGGCCCTGCGTTCCAGCTTTCGGGCTTCGAAATTTGGGTTCCAAGCGGGATTCCGAAGCTCGCAGCGACAATGTCGTACAGGAGCCTCGTTTCCGTGGTCACGTGCGACCCAACAACCGAGAAGCTGTTGTTGGAAGAAGCCTCAAAGCCGATAAGCCCAGTTCTAGATACTTCGAGCTGAGGGCGTTTTAGTCCCAGAGGATTCCCCAGTATCTGAGGTGGAGAGCTGGAACTGCATGCAAGCTTTGATCAAAAGCCGCCTGTCAGCCTTTCACAGGTTCAGGATACGCAGGATCGTCTAGGACCAGGATTTCGGGTCAGTACATTTTCGCTCAAAAATGGCACGAAATAATGCGAAATCCAAGTGTCAAATCAGCCAGGAGGCTCGCGAAAGCTGCAGTGAGTTCCGAAGGAACGGGCCTGCTCCTTTGTAAAGCCGCGCAGGAGTCGTCGTAGGGGTAGTGCTGGTGCTAGTGCTACTGCTGCTGTTCGTGCTAGCTTGGACTTGTATCTTCGCATCCGCCTCACCCAGATCAGTGGCCGTTGGACCGAGGCATTGGGCGAGAGCTGTCGAGCAGTTTTTTCGCCTTGCAGGCCAAGTGTTGCTTCAGGGGTCCAAAGTGTGCGTGATATCCATGTCCCTTCTGCTGTCGGCCCACAAGTTGGACTTGATGCTGGCCAGAGCTGACTTTAGGAAAGGGGACGCTTGTGGCTTTGAAGTTTGGAATCATCAAAAACGTCCGGTCAGAGCCTCTGCATGTTGCCAACGGCTTCTGAGGCGAACGGAGGCTGTAGTCACAACTCATGATCAGCCGGGGAACGGACACCTGGATCTTGAGCAGGCCCAGCCTCATCCAGCCTCCCTGATTTCCCGCGAGCGGTGCAACAATGCTTGCATCAAGGTTCATTCAGCAAACGTCAGGAAACCCTAGACATCCTCATGCAGTGGTGTTGTTTTCCACCCCGGCAGGTGTTCGGTGCAATGGGCCTCCCGATCAGGATTCAGCGTATGTCAGTTTCCATCGTCATGACATTCCATGGATGCGGCCTGCGGGCTCAACTTCTTGTTGTTGTGCGCAACTGTTATGCGCAACCCTCATGGGTGGCACTAAGGGTTTCATGCATGCAAGCTAGAAGTCCATACTCGAGTCTCCATCCGCCAGCTGTCAACCCTCACGGCCGTACCCCTTAATTGCCAAACTGTCTCTTGGAAATCATGCTCAGCCTTTAAAACTTTATGATTCAATGGAATCTGTAACGCGGGAGACCTGACGAGCCGACCATTGCTTTGACGATACGCATTGTGATCTTCCACCAACGAAACTTCGATTGCTGTCCTATTCAACAGCGTTCCCTAGCTTGACATGCCAGCTCATTTACAATCCGTCTTTAAAGCGTTTTTGCCGTGGGTCCGGTTTATAAGTTGTAGCCACGGTGTGCAATGCATGTTCGTTTTTTTGATGTTCTTGCATTCTGTTTTAAGAATGCAGCTACAGAGCTACTCAAGCACCATCCCCCAGCAACTCTGCGGCCAACCACTACACCCAAACCCTGTATTTTCTATGCCTTCGGTAGGCTTGGTGGCTCCCTCGGGCATGGCTTTTCACCCTGAGCCGAAAATTAGACTTATACTGCTTGATCGCATGTATGGCGGCAACCTCCCTTGTTTTAAGGTGTTGCACGATAGCAACAAAAAGAGCGCATACTCCAGGGACTTGAATGTTCAACTAGATTGTAGCAGTGATTCTTCCGAGGATTGGTATACTGCCTTGCATCCGCCCTGGCCGTGGCCTTCGCAGCTCACCTGCGACAGACCAGCTCATGTCAGTCTTTGCTCCATGCTCCCAAACCCAACTTAGGGTACCCAAACCCTGTTTTTTGGCTGTGTCAATCAACTAGCACAATCAAGATATGGAGCGTTTGAATGTATGGGGTTTGAGCTGCTTAGGTAAACCATGGCGGGCCCCGCTTGACCCTAAACCAAAGCACGGAAGCAGGCCTTGATTTTCCGAGTGATTGCCGCATTCCTGTGGACTTGCCTCACACGGGGACCCACTAGTTAGATACCTGGGACAACCAAGGCCGAACTCTTAATTTGACGGGAAGTATGACGATTTTGACCCTACCCTCCGAACTCCCAAATTCCTCAGACTTGTTAGACCCTCGACTTGAGCCGGGCTATGCTTTCTGCCAGGAAACCCAATTCGCCCTGCCTTCGACCGAGCCACTTGGTTCGGCTTTTGAGGTTTTAATGTTGATACTACAGGGGGTCTTCCAACTTGGCTTTCTCTGCCCTCAAGTAAGATGGGGATCTGTGAAATTAGGCCTCCCTTTTAGCTGCCGTTTTGGATCGAATCTGTGTGGGCTCCCTTGTTTCCTGCAGCTGCCATGGGAGAAGTGCTGCTACAGTGTTTATTGAGATTATATCTGGGTATCGAATTTTGCCGCAGCCTCTTATCGTAACAGCAGCTCAACATGCTTTGCGTCAGGAGTCTGGCTGTAGGGTTTGTAGTAGTAGGGTTCTGGTTTGCGATTGGGTGTGGAAAATTCGGAGGCAGGTATGCAACACGTCCTTTGCAATTGTATCTGCGAGGCTTCGAGCCTGATTTATTGAAGAAGCCTACTGTCGAGGTTCTTGTTGTTGGACGGTTTCGCCGCTACACCTCTCCTCTGCTTCTTCGCCTTGAACGTGCCGTGGCCGGCAGGGCAACAACAGTGCCGTGTAGAGCTCCAAGGTAGCGCACACCGTGAGAAGCCATCCCCTCCATCTACAGTTTTGACTACCTTTTATGCAATGTTCGCTGCTTCGTAAGATTGGCTAGGTCCGTCACCACCAAACATGATAACTGCGCGCGAACCACTGTCTTTCGCACCTTCGTCTTGTGCTGCAGCTGCTCAGGGAATGATTTTGGCTTTTGTTTAGGCGGCAGCCCGACAGCAGAAGAAGAGAAGCAGACGGAAGACGACGGAAGCAATCCACTAGCACGATCCTTGCACTCCCTCGGAATCCTATCTGGTTTCGTTGCCCGTGCATGCCTTCTCTAGTCGGAAGTTGTGGGCCCTACCTGTTTGACATCCCAGCGGATCATGCCGAACAATCCGAAGCATGAAAACCCCAACCGCATCTGGCAGCCCAAGCTCCGAAACTTCTGCTTGATTGCTTGGTAGGCTTGCTTGGCATTCTGCTCTAGACTGGTAGAAGACTAAAGTTACTAAAGTTTAGTCACGAAGAAAGAAGAAGAGCACAAGCATACTGTGTCTGGAGCCCAAGATTAATGCACCGGCCCAGCGAAGAAACGAGCGGCGGAGAGAATATTCGAGATTGTCCCTGGAAGCCAAGGTGAGGGTATGCTCGAAAGGAGCTGCGTTGACAGAGAAGTGCCGAACAATCCCCGCTTTTGTGAACCAGATCCCCACAGATTCTTGCATAGACGACGAGACTTGGCATATGGCTATTAACAGATACCTGGGTTTAGTGATCTTGTTTTTCCCGTTGTTTTTCAAAGACGGATCGCCCCTGCACGTGCATGACATGTACATCGCAGGACATGAGGTCGAGATCCGGCCTTCAACAGACCAATGGAGATACAGAATATTGAATAGGGCAGGGCTGAGCTGCACATCTTGACATGATTCGCCAAACGATGCATGCCTATTCAGCAAAACTGCAAAGCGCTGTTGGGCAAGACCTCCCGAGGAACTCCCTCTGCCCCAGCCCCAGCTCTGAGAAGTGAAGCGAGCCTCCTTGAGGTACTGCAGTTGCATTAAGCGGATTGAGCCTCAAGCCCTACCAGCATTCCACAGTATTCCATCTCTACCCATTGGGTGGTGAGCCCCGCCTTCCCCACAGCAGTCAAGTAATTTTCTGCTTCAGACAGGAACGGCAATATCTGGTCCATTTCGTGCTGAACAGCAGTGCTGGCTTCAATGTCAAGCACTTTACCATAACGTGGCCTGGCAGGGTGATTGAGCTTCATCCCTGAGCAACCATGGACGCGATAACGACTCCAATGCTCAAAGACCCAAGTCATAAGTCCTGTACGATGCCTCGTCCCCCAAGCCCCTACACAGCGCCGGGCTTGGCGTTCCAGGCGCAGAGGAAGGCATTAGATATTGCTGGGTTGCAGGCTACTGCGGCTACTTGTGGTTTATGTCAGGACTGTCAGGGCTCGGCAAGTAGCGGCAGGGTTACCTCGAACACCCGAAATTGTTTGATCTACCCCATCCCTGGGCCAGGCAGGAGCTGTTTTCCAAGAACTTCATTCTCCTGGGCGGCCTTCTTTCAGGTATGGTCGCAGTGCTTTCCCGTATTTACTGACAGAAACCAGAGAGACAGACGCTCTGGGCTCTATAGGGTTCAGAGCATCGTACATCGCAAGAACGCCGCAAAGTACGTACCAGCCAAAAAACCCAGAATCAAGGATCTGAAGTCTGGAAGTGGCATGCCGTGAGTTTGGAACACCAACCATGGACATGTTATACGCTTATATTATATACTCTCAGCATGCTCAGAGATTGTTGCTGAATGCGGGCTTTTGAGACTTCGGTTCCACCATTAGTGTATCATGTAGCCCTAAATCGTTCTCACAGAACAATTCATAAACAGTTCTCCCGAGAACTGTAGATGAGCCTGCAAAATCCGGGCCGAGCCGCGGAGCGCGCGTCGACCCAGTTGTCGGCTTCTTGGGGAGAACCCAGACAGAGCAGCTGGTGGTAGCGCATGTTTGGCGAGCGCCATCGTGATACTAACACGGAAAAGCGGTTTCGGTGACTGTAATAATAAGATTTAGATTGGATCCGTAGAGGGTCGGAGATTGAGCGCTCGCCCCGCGAATTCCCGCGGTCCGATGGAAAGCTCAGAGTGCCAACTGGCAGAAAGGCGCTGGCCACGTGTGCAGAAGAAACCAAGAAGCGGCAAGCTCTAGCTACCTCATGTAAGGGCGCCGACGTTTCTGATAATTGCTCCAGCATAGATCGTGAAACGGTAGTGGAACAACACGACGGCTATGACCAAAAAGATGACAAAGACGAGCACGACCACGGGCTATCATGACCACCAGTTCATGGTCAGGAGACGACCGGGAGAACACCCGGACACCACAACCACCAGGACCACCACCCCCCAATCGGGCAGCGTTCTTGCGGACAGTTTTATCAGCCTGCGAGTGTTTGCGGGGCGTCACAGCCAAAATGCCTCCCCAGGTACTGGCTAGATTCGGACGCTTCGAAGCTTAAATGAGGCCAATGTGTTGGAATTTGCATTGGATCTCACTTTCCGGATTCCGGAGGTTGCAGCCACACCGCGACCGTGAAGAATGGGACAAAAGCACAGCAGAATATTCCTCGCGGTGGCACTGGCCAGTTCTGAATTCTCTGTTCGCCCAATGCAAGATCTCAACAGTATGCACCACACTGTTTGGGGAATACAGCCTTGATAGGACGAAGCCGGGGCAATGTAAGACCATGGGTCCCCAGCATTCATAAGACGCCTTCAAAGGTCCAGCCGCGAAACCCAGCGATTCTCGCCATGTCAGTTCTTGGCTGGCTCTGAAATCTACGCAAGAGCAGGCTGTCCGGAGTTTTGACGTCCTGACTGTTGTGCTACGATACACGTACGTATTGCCATCAGCGGCTTTTGACTCTACGCGGTCCAACCAGCTATCAGATGGCTCCGTATAGCTTGTTGGACAACCCGTTGCTTGTCGATTGGATGTACTTATGGTGTATATGTCTGAAGACAAGAAAGCCCTCTACAGGAGAAATTTGCAGGGCTTCAACACGCCTTTTTGACTGGAATTGCTTCCTCTGGGCCGAAAATTGCATCCGCCTGGGAGAGGCACCACCATGATGGACGCAGGTTTCACGGCACTGACTAATCTTTAGAAGCTTCACCCCTAAACGGAGATTGACCGAGATCTGTAGGACCCTGACCTTGAAAGGAGATTTAGCTCAAGCAGTTCGAAGACCTTGCGCCCTAGAACCCCGCGGGGGATTGTGGAGGGTTGACAGCAAAAGGCCGAAAGAGTATCAGCTTGAGGCCTGCGTTGGGAATCGAAGCTTTGCAGGCCTCGTGCAGCCTCTATGAGGTCTCACGGCAGAATACATGGCTGCTTGAGCCTACAAGGCTCTAGCGGCTAGTTAATGGCCGAAAGCTTGAAAATATTGTGCAAGCTGAGCAGCCCGAGTCGAGGCCCGAGGCCAACTTTCAACAGTCATAGACTGCTTGGAGCTCTCCTCTCTGGAGCATTCCGTAACGGCTTTGATGTTTGAGGCTGTCTCTTTGCCCTGTGAAGGGGTGAGGAAGATCTTGCGAGGATGAAATCTGGCAGTTTGAAAACCTTAGGTCTGTTCGCCCCTTGTAAGATACTCGTGAACACTCACAAAAAAAACTCTTTGCAAGAACATCCCCCGGACTGTGTGAAAGATGCGCTTTTGACTAGAGGCTCGGGGACCCTGCAGCCCTCCACGAAGTTTGGGGATGTCTAGCGTGGAAGCTGTTTGGCGATTTCGGAACTCTGAGTTTTTTTGTAGAGTCATCAAGATTGCTGATCGTGTGGACTTGCTTCAACTTAGTTGAAGATCCTTAGTCCAAGGAGGCTTGGAAGCAACCATTTGGGATGAGAAGGCTTCATTCGTTACTTCTAAATGACCGCCAGTCTTTCTGCTTATCTTGCCTGCAACAAAAACGTGTGTTCATGCTGTGGTTCCTCACCTGAACGATCGAGACTCAGACTCAGATGTTGCATGTAACTGGGAATCTAGCCCCAAGTCATCTCCGCCTTTTAATTGGTGCGAAGGCTGTGTGCTGAAATCGCACAAGATCCACGAAATCTATTGACACTTCTTTTCGGAGACTGTCACGGAATCCCGTAGCTTAGAGCAGTGAGGAGGGATCGGGAATCTGGCCCGCAGATTGTTGGATCTGCATGTGCAGCTTTGCACAATGCCGTTAGGTACCGACGAAGACGGCGAAATATTGCAGTGTGCTGTCGCTCCTGATGGTCTTGCGACTTCCTGCTCCTGTACTCCTCCTCCTCCTACTCCTACTCACTACTACGACGACGACGACGACTACTACTACTACTACTGCTACTGCTACTGCTACTTCTACTGCTACTGCTACTGCTACTGCTACTAGTACTAGTAGTAGTAGTAGTAGTAGTAGTAGTAGTAGTAGTACTACTACTACTACGACGACGACTACTACTACTACTACTGCTACCACTACTACTACTACTACTA